TTAAGCGCTTTTGCCTTTTTTTTCCACCTCCATCTAATGTTTTTGTAGAAGCAAGCAGTGTCTCCTTGACTGGTAATTAAATTTACTGAAATTTAGCAGATTAATTTAGTGGCAGGATAACTCTGCAGATAAAAGTTTGCTTACATACTTTGAGCTCTGTTTTGGAGTTATCTTGTGTTATATGTCTACAGAGGGATGGGAGGATAGAGAGGGGTGTAGGCAGCATACAAATGTGGAGAGCAGAGTGAAATGCAAACACCTAACTTCGGGAACAAGAGAACTCTGAAGAAGCTTCACTGCAGTGGCGAAGGAAGGATAGAGCTAGTAAAACAACACAAATGTGACTGATCAACTGCTAAATGTAGAAAATGAGATGTAAATAAAGATTTGGCATTTGTGCAACACAAATATTACACTATTGTTTGCATAAATTCCCAAAGAAATGTGTTACGCCTTCTGGAAAAATTGGGTCTTGACAGGAAGATTTTCAAGACGCATAGGGAAAAATTAGTTGTCTGCTGTGTTTTTATACATGTAAGGAGCTATTTCGGTAGTGGTTTATTAGCTAAAACTTCATAATTTTCATTAATCTGAGTGGATTGTTTTGCCTGTAACTCTGCTTTCTCCAGTACATTTCTACTTCCATGACTTGGTAGATATTTATGCGTGGGAAGAAATGGTCTAAACATTAGATGTCCTTTTTTTGACTCTCTTTCCTTAAAACAGCTCAAGTGACTATAGAAGAAATCACTCCCCTTGTTCCTCCACAATCGGGAGATAAAGGACAAGAAGATTTAACAAGCTATTTCTTAGAAGCACTTTTGAAATACATAGTAATTCAGGTATGTTCTGTAGTTTTCAAGCAAGCAAATATGAAACAACTAACACCTCTTTGTCCTTTACGAGAAGACATTTACTAGTACTACTGCACGTTTATATAAAAATATTTTAAATTTTACTTGCCCCTCCCTCAAGTGTTCTTCGTAAAAAGCAAATTTCCCTAGAAAATCTTCTCTTGTCCTTTGAGTGAAGATTCATAGGTCTGTTATCGTAGGATCTTGCATCAGTATATAGCATGGAGAAAAAACAAGACTTGTCAGTCATTTCTGGCAATGCTGATTCCAGCTCCCTTCCCATTTTCTCCTCCCTCTCCCCACCCTATTGCCTTCAACCAGTAGAATGGTTAACTGGGCTCGCTCTTACGTGGGTTCTGTGGTGGTCAGGGGCTTTGCTTTTCAAATAAGGGGAAACTTCTAACTGAAAGAATTGGGACTCATTAAAATCACAAAAATCCAAACTTCTGCTGGCCTTTTTCCTAGGTTTTATAGTTGAGCTAGCTGACAAAACCAAACTGAAATAGGACGTTAGACCCAGTGGTTTGTAAGACTGGGACTTGCCAGTGTCTGTGCTAAGGGTCATATTTTCCCTCCAGCTATCTTTCTGGAATTTCTGCTGTTACAGTAGATAACCATACAGCTTCTTCATTCCTTAATGGAAACACTGAGAAACACTGAGCTACTGGAAAGCCCTGGTTAGTATAAATACTCCAGAGTGTTTAGACTGTCACACAGAGATTATGGGTTTCTCTGCAAGAGCTTGTGGGGAGGGGTTGTTTGGTTGGTTGTTTTTTTTTTGTTTTTTTTGTTTTTTTTTTTCTGATCATGGTATTTACTATCCAGATCTTGCAGGGATGGTGCCATGACTCCTGTTGATATCTTAACTGTACGTTATGGGACCTCAGTTTTAGGAGATTGTCGTGGTTTAGGCCTGATTGGCAGCCAACCACAACGCAGCAGCTCTCTCTCCCTTCCCCTCCAGCAATGAGAAGGGACAGAGAGCCAGGCTTGGGGTTCAAGATAGGACTGGGATGTAAGGTCGGGTGTAATACAGTACACTGCATAGTAGAAATTTGGGATTACTGCTACAGCTGAGCAAGTGAACTTCTTCAAAAGAGAAGCAATGGGAAAGGGTACATATTCAGAACACTTCAGATCTGACAAAGCTTATGTGTTAGGTCCAGCATTAAGCTGTACTGCTGAGATTACTCTATTAGTGGCATTGCTATGTGAACACCAGGTAATAAGATCTTGCAGATCCCAAGCTACCTTCAGGGCAGATCATGGATCTGAACTTTGCACAGAAAATGAAGACAAATGAGTATGTAGTCCATGGCGCACAACTTGAGCGCACACGCTGTTCTTCCCTTCGTACTTTGACACGTCCATGATCTCAGCCAGTACTTGGAAGTGCCTGGGATAGGGCATGGCAAAAACTCTTGTCTAAAACGGTGGCCTAGCTATTATGTTTTATGTAATTGATTTGCTGGCTGGTTAGCCCATGCTGCTTCTAAGCCTGATCTGCTGTCATATGCCTAGCAAGCTGCTTGACTGCATGACATGCTGCAGATGTTCCCGGGTTCTGCCTTCTGGGTCAGACTTGTGCAGCAGAATCCAGTTCGGTATCTATCTGTAAGTTTTTCTTCACACTTTTGCAATTTGTGCTAAAGATGGACAGTGCACAAATATGGCCAATGTTAAACTGAAATGTTTCATGGCTTCCCTTTATTTGTCTTACTCTGAACTTGCAGTGCTGGAATAATTTGCAACCTCATTTTGTGGCTTCCAGCATCTCCTGGTTTGCATAGAGTTCATCATACTTGTGATTTGTAGGGTAAGCTTAATGATGACTGTTCAGTTTGAATAAAAATACCCTTGACATTCTTGAAGACAATTGCCCTCTCTGTAATAAATAGGTAGTATTATATTTAAACTTATGTAAGTCCTTGAGAAGAACTTGTTCACTGTATGAATGCTAGATACTTTGCTGAAGTCTCTTTAGAGGTACTGATAATTTCAAGCTGAATAGTTATTACTTTGATATTAAGTTCTGCTGAAGGACTTTGTCACTAATTTCTACATATGAGTCACCCATTCTAATGAATTATATTGGGGATATATACACATACATGTATTAATATATTGCGTTCTGAAGGCATCTGTCCCTGAAAATAGGTCATAATAGAACTGTGGACATTGAGTAAGGAATAGAGGAGGGGGGAAAAAGTCAATTAAAAAAAAAAAAAGGGAGGGGGGGTGTGCAGAATTAAAAGCAAAGCTTCCTTTTATTTATGGTAGACTCGACAGATTGCCCAGCTCTGCAGGCAGATGGATTCTTGAGGACAAAGATGGAAACTGTGTTGGGTTTATTATTAAGGAGAACTTACCATGCTTTTCAGTAGGCAAACATTTCATAATGGGGAAGGCTTTGCACTCATGATCTATGAAAGTAGATTTGTGTAATTCAACTTCAAAGTTGTATCTTTTGCTGCTTGTGATTGACAGATATATTTCTTTCATTTGTCAGCTGCACAAATGAATCCAAGTACTATTATAATGAATATATGGACACTTGTTAGTCAAAATGTGTTAAAAGAAATTGTCAAATAAATGTTCAGAGTAGCATGGATAATTGCCCTTTTATGAAACATTTTGAAATATAAAAGCAGTTTAATTAAACAATTGATTTGGGTTTAATCCTTCACTTGGCAAGATGACCATAAAAGCAGATGTATTTCTATTGGTTTCAGTATTTGCTGTGTTCAAATTCATTTTGAAGCAGTGTTTTGAAAGAAAACAGTCTTTGTTTCATTGACATCTCTTAGCTAGTTTCTGTTCCATCTTTCTAAAAATGTTTATTAAAATGCATATTACTTTGTTCCAAATAAATAACTTACAAAAGATACTTCATCAGTCATTTTTCTCTTCTAGATGTTTACTTTATCCAACTTCCTTTTTTTTAAGGTTAAGAGTTTAGAGTGGAAGAATAAGGAAAACCAGGAAAAGGGATTTTCATTTTTATTCTCAAATTTCAAGAAATACTACTTACCTTCCATTTTCCCAAACATCTGTAAGGAGACCAGCTTGTATAACCCTATACTTGGTAAGTGTTAACACAGGTGATAAAACCATTAAATTTTCTCTAGTAGACAGTAGAGAAAAGCAGTTTTTTGCTTGTGTAGCCCATAAAGAACGTTATCCACAAGTTTTTATTACGAAAGAACCTGTTGTGGTTCTTTTTCATGGTTTTCAGTTCTCTATATGGAGGCACCTGACCCTCTCCTTAGCGTCAATCTTGCTATATTAACCTGATTATTGTTCTTGAATGAAGAAATGTTCTTGTAAAACAGTTCTTTAATGTGACCTCTGTTGTTGATTTAAGTTGTTCTCTGAAGAGAAACTGCTGCTGCTAAGAGGTTAGTGTGCTGTTCTTTGGGAGATGTTGGCTTTAGCTGTACAGAATCATAGGGTTTGGATCATACGGTGCTTGCTCATAGTTCAGACAGGGCAAAGTTAGTTATGTCTTTCTGTCAACTGTATTTTGTCAAGAGCTTGCAGTAGAAAGAGGAAGCTAGGGTTTAACATAACCTCTAAAGCTGGTGGTGTTAGAACATATCTTTCCGTACAGAGTGTGGAATTTTAGGTGTTTGCTAAGCAAACCTAACTGGAGTTTTGCTCAGAGGCTTTTAGCCCATTCTAAACTAGGAAGTTGTTTGCAAATCTTGATTTTTTCCTAGCTGAGGTTTGCATGCACACATGCATATGTTGGTTGTAAGCCAATAGAGTTCAAGACTTGCTTGCAAAGCAATACCTTGTACACAGGCTTTAAGCTGCCATTTCATTACTTGAATAATATGGACACCTCACTGCTCCTTTTACCTGTTGATGCAGCGTCTCAGAACAATTGGTAGTGATCTCCAGACACAATTTCGTGTTCTAAAATCAAGCTGTCAGACAACTTTGAAAAGGTCTTAGTTTCTGCCAGTCCACGTACATGTACTTCGACTGTGGCTTTCTTCAGAGATGGATGTTTCAAAACCATGTTCTCCTGGGAAAGACAAACAGTGGACCTTCTCATCTACAGGAGAAGAAACAGTATAAATCCAGCCATAAGCAACAGTAAAACAAGAGTTGTGTGAAGATACTGAAGAGGATCGGTGATGAAATAACTCCAAGAGGGATGGTAAGCTCTGCCGAGAAAGCAAATGTGCTGCTGCTTGACATCCTCAAACAAGAAACGTGGAAACTGTGTTTTCTCTTTCTATGAAGATCTTGATTGAGTCATCTGTAGAAGTGTTACTTTAGTCCTCTCTCTTTCTGCGAACTCCAAATAAGAAACTTCTAACACCTTAATAGAGAAGAGAATAATGGAGGAGAAGAAGTGAGCACAGATCTCCACAACAATGACGAGGATTTGGGGAAGAATACAGTAATGAAAGCAACAGAGACATTGGTAAGTAGAAGAGTCTTTTCTCTAAGAAGTTCTTCTCTGGCATGAATCTTTCCACCCCATTTGAAAACAATCCTGTGCCTGTTCTGAACAAAACTGGCAGCATTTAGGCAGAAAACAAAGCAAACTTGGACACCGATCTTGCTACTAAAAACAGTTCTTATGCTACTGGTATAATGTTTAATTTAGGAGAAGTCATGAAGTACAAATCAAAATAGTTTTTGTAAGCAGGCGTTGATACAGGGCTTTACTGGAGGTAGTATATTGGATTAAAAGTTTTTTTGCTTTCTTTCTGTTAAGGCAGATTTTTTGATAAGTATATTAATTACAGTAACAAGCACCAAGTGTTCCAGTTACAAGAATTATTATTGTGCCTCCTCCAAATTCTGACATGAGTATTACAGGCTTAGAAGAGCCCATGAGATTGTTGGTTTGGGTTTTTTTGTTTTGTTTTGAACATCTTAACATCTGCTTAGTTTCCATAAGGTAGTCTTCAGAAGCTGTTTAGTAAGAACTACAAATACGGCAGTGACATTACAGGGACATTGTTTCTTCCATCATAGTGAAGTGCCTTTCTGTGCCATTTCCAAGCCATTTTGCTGGGCCTCCTTCATTTACAGGGGAACAAACTAGGCTGTCCTACAGCTCTCTGCAGCTCTTTATTCCTTCTGAAACCTTTATTGCCTTAAAAAGCAAGCATGGTCAAAACTGCAAGTGTCCACCATTATAAATATGCTTTTGCTAACCTTTTCATTTTCTACCCTGTGCATGTCTTCCACCTACAGCTTCCTGCCCTTTTTGGTACCATCTCACATCAAGTTTCCTGAGGGGCAAGGGTAGGGGGTGGGGAAAGCCCAAAACAGAAAGGAAAAATGGAAAGTTGGGGGAAGGGAATAGTTTTCTCTTGTGCTATTTGAGTCAATCTAATAAACTTCTGTTTTGCTTTGGTTTACATCAGTGGCCTCATCTGGAGCCTTGACAACTACTTCCAAGATGGACAGAAATGTGAAAATACAAGAAATGACTGAAGGAGGACACATTTGAGCACCAGCTGCAGGATACAGTGTGCTGCAAAGACATGTTTACTGCATGTCTATTGGATGTCTTGTCCTTTTGAAAATACTGCCAGTATGGCAGCCTTCACACCCTGCTGAAAGCTAATAGATACCAGAGAGAACTGATTTTTATATCTTTAAATACTCTGCTACCAGGCATTTGCTTCCTCTTTCGCCAATTGTGCTGTTATATGTGGTTCTGTTTAAGATATATTCATTTATAATTTTTTTGCTAATCTACTGCTTTCCACACAATGAAAACAATGTACTGGGTTTTATTTGTAGTAAATAAAATATTTTTAAGCTTCTAAAGTATTCTGTATATTTATTACTTAAATGAATGATATGCAAGCATCACATAGTTTTTTCCTCTAAAAATAATGCTTCCATTCAAAATCATGGGTGTAACTTCAGAGTCTGTTCTGGAAACATTCCTCAGTTTATCAGCATCATGAGTTTATCACTGCTTTTGTATGTGGCTGTTAAAGTGACACTGAGATATGCCAGCTTGGATGTCCTCAATGCTGGTGCCAGTGGTTTGTTGTGTATTTGAAATGTTAACAAGGAAGCCTTTACAGCAGTCTGGCAGGTAGGCTGTATTCATTTTAAATGCCTAAAAGTATATGTGGCCTAGATAGTAGCTGATTATTGCTTCACTGCTATCCAAATTTGTTCCTTCTGGGTTATGATACCATAACCTGGCAGAAGTTATGCTGGATCCCTTAATGCAGCTCTTGACCTTGCATTAGGAAGATATAGTCAGGGAATAACTTAATATTCTTCAGTGTTACTACTTTGCATCTTTTTTGACTCCCACCTTTAGTATCTTTGAACTGCCTATGGCCTGTAAAACCATGATATGTATCTCTTGCTCACATCCTGCAAGCTAAAGAAGAGTTGAGGCAGTGCTGACATACCATCTCTGTCCAGTGTATCACTCTCCATATCTGGATAGGACCATCATTTTCCATGCCTCCTCTCTTTGATTTTTTTGTTGGGTTTTTTGATTGTCTTTTTTTTGCGTTCTCTCACCAGATGAAAATCATGATGCTTAAACAGCAGCAGCAGGGTGTGTTCTGATAGCACATATCATAATCGGTCCTCAGACAAATTTTTGTCTACTTTTTAGATCAGAGCAGATCTCATACTTGCCCTTCTAGAACTGGGGCTGGAGTTGGCACACTGCTCACAGAGAAATGGAATTTGCACCTGGAAGTTTTATAGCTGCTTCAGGTTGACAATTGGTATTACAGAATTGTTCTGCACCCTGTCTTGGGTTGTGAAACCCAGAAGTGACATTTTGCAGTGCTGAGTTAGCTGATACGTGGCTGGAGTTGAACTAGGCTGTTGATACTTGTCCCTACAGAAATGTGCACTTTGCACAATTAAGAACTGTGTGTCTGTGCGTCCCTGCACACACCACCCCCCAATCTTACTAATGCTTTTACTGCACATGTCCATTCCATCCCCATGGAAGTATTAAGAACTGTCACTTTTTTCTGAAGCAGATTCAGGAATATTGATGACACTGTCAGCATCTTTGTCACTAGCACAATAGAGAACTGCAAGAGCTAAACAGTTCTGAACCATCACCTTAGAACATGGGTTGGAGAAAATGGAATTGTAGGTTATAGACCTGAAATAACCAAGATTCCTACATGTTGGCATGCCTCTGGGCATCACTCATTGCATTCTCTGCAAGCCAGTATAGACGCTATTGCCAGAGAATCCTCTTTCAGCAAAGTTGTAGGAAGATGCATGTGCCCTCACTCTGGCAGCAAAGTCCAGCAAAACTAGCTAGTGCAGATACGGCATTAGATGAACCTGTGAAACTGATGTGGCTTTGGAGCAGGATTTCTGTCTAGTCTCTTCATCTTTTGCCTACTGCAGGGCCAGAAGAGGCTGTGTTTATGGCAGCTGCTGTTAGGGTACAGTTTGGAACTAAAGTTCTCCTATTGTAGCTATCATTAGATGTAGCTGTGATAGCTATATCAGTAAAGAACTGCTGACCCTTATTGCTAATTATATTGTTTTATTGTGGATTGCTGCAGACCAACACAGAACTCTTCCTAGGGGTGCACTGGGAAATGTGGTGATCCCTTGCATCTGAACTGCATCTGCTTTTCTCAGCGGGTTTGGTAGTAGGGGACGAGTGACATATAAGACACTTAAAAGGCTATAAAATAGTATGAGTTAAATAAATTGTTGCTTAGTAACTTAAACTACTGTATACTTAACACTTCTGAACACTTCTTAAATATTAAGAAATTTGACAATATCTTAATTCTGTATGAAAATAGATTTCTTGTCTAGGCCATATTCTAGTTTAGTTAACAGTTGTTCTACTTGGAACTCCTTTGTAGTTTTCAATGAAAATGGGAAATAGTGAGTCATGTAGCTTAAAAAAAGCTGAAAACAATGAAAAGAGATGTGTTTACTTGGTTAGAAAAAAAAAAATGCAAGCAAGAATGTAAGGCTATAAAAACCACTTTCAGATACAAAAATTAAAGGTTTTGCATAGCAGAAACAAGTTGCTGTCTGTTGGACCAATAATATTGTCTCCTTCCAGGAGAAAATTACACCCTCTCGATGTCTTATGGTCTGGTCTTGAAATTTTCTCTATCACGTGCATTTCGGCACATCTTAGGATGAATTATGCAACAGTGAATATGAAAAAACATCCCCCTTTGAAAGTTCACGTGTATTTGTTATGGTTTTAGGATTTCTTTCTTATATAGAGCTTTTTCTCTGCATATATTTTTAAATTGTTGTGTTTCCTTACAGATATACCACAAATGAGACCAAAGCCACACTATGTAATGGTTAAGAAAGATGCTGAAACCAATGAGGCAATATATTGCACAAAGGAACCTTTTATTAAGGCTCGTGTTATTGTCATTCGATGGTTGGTGTCTTTCTGGCTTGAGCCAAAACCTCATACAGGACCTCATATTCCTGGGATGGAAGGTGAAAATGTGCCAAAGAATATTCAGGTAAAACCAAATACACAAAAAGAAGTGTTTGTTTTCATATTTTTGTCTTAATTGCTATGTCAGCAGTCTGTGTTCCTATGATAATTATAACTAATGAAGAATTAAAAGGAATTTCTAGATAAATTTTCTTCATATGAATTTACTTTAGAAGGACTTGCTATGTTTTTTTTCTCTTCAAATTCTGCTATTTTGTTTTTAATGAAGTAGACATAAGAAGCCTTGAAATTCAGTGAATCGTTATTTTTTTGTCCTGAATTCTTTGTACTGCTTGAAATGATACTGTTGTGTAACTTAAATTGTACTGTTCAGTTGTTGCACTAAAAACAAACTTTAATTATTATTTCAGAGGGCAGCTGCTAACATGGCTTCAAGGGAGGACAGCAAAAATGACAGTACTGATAAGCAAGATAGAAATGCAGAGCCAGAACAATCTCATTCTAATACAAGTACTCTAACAGAAAGAGAACCAAGTTCTTCCAGCCTCTGCAGTATTGATGAAGAGCATTTAACCGATATTGAAATTGTCCGGAAAGTATTTTCTTCTAAAAGAAGCAACGTTAATTTTCTAACTGAGATTTTTCGACAGGTAAAGCACCCTCTTTAGAATGCAAGAATATCTTTATAATGATCATGTAAATGATCGTTAGGTCATGGGCTTCTTTGAAGAGCATTTGCTAAGCAGAACATTATATAAATGTACAGGGGGTTTTTTGTCATCTTGCCTTTAAGGTTTAAGAATTGAAAAGTTAAAATTCTGAAATATTTTCAGTGTAGAATATCCCCAGTTCCTGATTTTTCTAATTTTACTTCTCTAATCATCAGTTTGACAACACTTAACTTGGACTTTACAGTTCCCCATACATCAGAAATCAACCCCATAGCTATTATAGCTCACAACCAAGCATATTAAAATAAGCCATCTGTGGGAGTCTGCAGCTGTTAAAGAGCTGTTTTAGGAGTAATCAAATGCCCTTACCTTGATAATGTTCATCAGAAGAGTGGGACAGATGGCTATAGAAAGTAACAGCTTCTGCTTCTGACTTTACTGCAACTAGAAATGTTAACTGAGCACAGTCAAAATACTGTTTCTCAACTGGAAACTATTAAACAAATCTAAACTGAGAACATATGCCAGTATTCTGGAGTCTTTATTTATAATGTGAAAATACATAACTTTGAGTTCACTGTGAGAGAATAGAACAGGATAGACTTTCTTTGTGGCCCATGGTATAGATCAAAGGATTAAGAGATTTTTCTGACTAATAGTAAACAAAAATATACTAATTTTCAATTGAAATGCATGACACTGATTACTTTAAACAGCAGCAAACTAAACATTTTAAAACTCTGGTATATCTGGGTGAAATGGATATTTTCAAGTGAGGCAAATAAATGTCAGAAGCTTATCCACATCCAATGTGTTGAAGAGTTTGGATACATTACTGAGGGAGATAAGAGAGTTGCCTGAATTCAGCTGCCACTCAAGGGTTTAGAGTCCAAGACATTGAATGTAGAGTCTAAATTATTGATGGTCTGTTTAGAAAATCACACACACACACACACCACACCCCATGAAAGGGATGGCAAAGGCAATTTTCTTCATTCTTTTCACAAGGCACTCAGTGAGTTATGTAGATTATTTGGATTTTGTGTGTAGTTATGGGATTTCATTTAAGTCACTGTTTAGCCAGATGTTTTCAGTGTAAGATCATTTCTAATACGCCAGACGTTTGTCATGTTTCTAAAACATTAGGGCTGAGTTATTCCACTCAGGAGGAGGTTTCAGTAGTACTGAATGATGGGAAGATTGTCTGTAGAAAAAGTTTTATGCATTTTAGACTGCAGGGTACAAAACATATATATTGGCTTGCAGAATACTGTTAGACTTGATGAGTGATAGTGCATGACTGATGACTTTATCAGTTGAATTTTGTAATACATAGCAATATTCTTTTTAGTGCGATACTGGTATGAAGTGTCTATACCCAGAGAGAGAAAATACTGCTTGTGTCAAATGGGCACTTTTAAAGACATGGGCAGTGACTTCTCAACATTCACACCGTGGACTCCATAAAGCTATGTGTTAGTGTAGTTTATCTGTTCTTTTTTCAATACAATTAGGGCATCATGGTCTTCAGTAAATGTATTTACAGTTAGTTAAAACCTTATTAACGTTAAAAGTTTCTGATCTGTGACTAGTTGTTACCAGCACAGCAGATACAGAAAACCTCCTGAAGAGGGCACTGATCAGCCATCACATTGGCTCAAGTGCACGATTTTTGAAACAA